GTCTAGACCAAACTCCTTATAAAAACTGACTACAGTTCTGTAGTAATGGGCCTCATATGTAGAACTAAGTGTAAATGCAAAGGCCCATGATTATGTGCTGTTATCTAGATTACTTGTTAATACCAGCTGACAATGGCAAAGGCTAGTAAAATGAGGTTCTGGTTGAAAAAAAACATGTTTAGATAGGGTCAGATAGGCTTCCTAGAGTAACATTCTCCCAGACCACACTGCAGTGATACCCCTGTAGTGATCATGACAAAATCAAAACTGTGATCACATCTAATCCTTTGCAGAGACTCTACTCACCTAAATTTGGGGGGCATTTGGGGTCTTTAAATTTCAATACCAGACAGTAGAAAGATGACAGGAAATGAGGAGAGAGAGAGCAATGTATGGGAACTACATTCAACAAATTTGCCAGATGTAAACTAGGCACATTGCAAGTCACAGTGGCACCTTAACCCAAAGGCCAGATGGCACAGATACAACTGGTATCTGCAATGCATCTGCTTGGTCCAGACACAAGCTTGAGTATTTTAGCTAAAAATTCTGCACATACATACAGTACTAACATAACAGTGAACTGCACTGGCAGATAAAACACAAAGTGATACCAAGGTTGTAGGTTTGGTTTTCTCATCTTTGCTTTCTGGGGGCATTTCCTTCAGGTTATAAAAACACATATGAGCTAACACTTCACAGTCTATGATGTTTGAATCTATTCAATACCATCTGCTTCCAATTTGCTGCTGTACATTCATCTCACAGACAGCGTATTACAGATCAGGTCAGGTATCCCTCATCCCTCTTTCTTTCTCTGTCCATCAAAATGCATTTCTTTCTGCAGAAAAAATCCAATCCAGGTGACTCTGTACAGACCAGGGGTAGGCGACCTGCGGCTCCGGCTCTTTAGCTCCTTTTCCAGTGGCTTCCTGTGGCTTTGACAAAAAATTATGTTGGACATGTCTCTACTGTCCATACCAAGATTTAACAATGGAATAGGTGTGATCACAGCACAGGAGGGAGACAACTGACTGGCCTGTATCACCAAATATATATACCAAACGACATTATAGTCTAAGCTCAATTTACACACCATTTCATCATCTGAACACTGAGTTTGACTATCTTTTCCACCTGAATGAAAGCAGCTTCACACTATTGCTGCTGTTGCTGCTGCTGCCTCGCCTGAACTCCAGAGAATAAGAAGCTCCACAGCTCTGTCTACTAACACCCAACAACTGAATGAATAGACTTTGTTAATATGTGATATATTTTTACTAGTTCATATGCACACCCATAAAGAAGTGGTCTGGGTTTTTGATCATATTGTGTATTTTCAATGTATTGACATCTTTGATTTCTCATTATTCATCTTGGATTTTCCTTTGCAACGCACACACACACACACAC